TCCAGGAGCTTGCCTGGTCCAAGAGCTTGCCTGGTCCAAGAGCTTGCCTGGTCCAGGAGCTTGCCTGGTCCAGGACCGTGCCTGGTCCACGAGCTTGCCTGGTCCAGAAGCTTGCCTGGTCCAGGAGCTTGCCTGGTCTAGGAGCTTGCCTGGTCCAGGAGCGTGCCTGTTCCAGGAGCTTGCCTGGTCCAGGAGCTTGCCAGGTCCAGGAGCTTGCTTGGTCCAGGAGCATGCCTGGTCCAGGGGCTTGCCTGGTTCAGGAGCTTTCCTGGTCCAAGAGCTTGCCTGGTCCAGGAGCTTACCTGGTCCAGGAGCTTGCATGTTCCAGGAGCTTGCCTGGTCCAGGAGCTTGCCTGGTCCAAGAGCTTGCCTGGTCCAGGAGCGTGCCTGGTCCAAGAGCTTGCCTGGTCCAGAAGCTTGCCTGGTCCAGCAGCTTGCCTGGTCCAGGAGCTTGCCTGGTCCAGGAGCATGCCTGGTCTAGGAGCTTGCCTGGTCCAGCTGCTTGCCTGGTCCAGGAGCTTGCCTGGTGAAGGAGCTTGCCTGGTCCAGGAGCTTGCCTGGTCTAGGAGCTTGCCTGGTCCAGGAGCTTGCCTGCTCTTGGAGCTTGCCTGGTCCAGGATCTTGCCTGGTCCAAGAGCTTGCCTGGTCCAAGAGCTTGCCTGGTCCAAGAGCTTGCCTGGTCCAGGAGCTTGCCTGGTCCAGGAGCTTGCCTGGTCCAGGAGCTTGCCTGGTCCAGGAACTTGCCTGGTCCAGGAGCTTGCCTGGTCCAGGAGCTTGCTTGGTCCAAGAGCATGCCTGGTCTAGCAGCTTGCCTGGTCCAGGAGCTTGCCTAGTCCAGGAGCTTGCCTGGTCCAGAAGCTTGCCTGGTCCAGGAGCTTGCCTGGTCCAGGAGCTTGCCTGGTCCAGGAGCGTGCCTGGTCCACGAGCTTGCCTGGTCCAGGAGCTTGCCTGGTCTAGGAGCTTGCCTGGTCCAGGAGCTACCTGGTCCAGGAGATTGCCTGGTCCAGGAGCTTGCCTGGTCCAGGAGCTTGCCTGGTCCAGGAGCTTGCCTGGTCCAGGAGCTTGCCTGTTCAGGAGCTTGCCTGGTCCAGGAGCTTGCCTGGTCCAGGAGCTTGCCTGGTCCAGGAGCCTGCCTTGTCCAGGAGCCTGCCTGGTCCGAGAGCTTGCCTGGTCCAGGAGCTTGCCTGGTCCAAGAGCTTGGCTGGTCCATGAGCTTGCCTGGTCCACGAGCTTGCCTAGTCCAAGAGCTAGCCTGGTCAAAGAGCTTGCCTGGTCCAGGAGCTTGCTTGGTCCAAGAGCTTGCCTGGTCCAAGAGCTAGCCTGGTCCAGGAGCTTGCCTGGTCCAGGAGCTTGCCTGGTCCAGGAGCGTGCCTGGTCCAGGATGTTGCCTGGTCCAGGATCTTGCCTGGTCCAGGAGCGTGCCTGGTCCAGGAGATTGCCTGGTCCAGGAGCTTGCCTGGTCTAGGAGCTTGCCTGGTCCAGGAGCTTGCCTGGACCAGGAACTTGCCTGGTCCAAGAGCTTGCCTGGTCCAGGAGCATGCCTGGTCCAAGAGCTTGCCTGGTCCAGGAGCTTGCCTGCTCTAGGAGCTTGCCTGGTCCAGGAGCTGGCCTGGTCCAGGAGCGTGCCTGGTCCAGGAGTGTGCCTGGTCCAGGAGCTTGCCTTGCCCAGGAGCTTGCCTGGTCCAGGAGCTTGCCTTGTCCAGGAGCTTGCCTTGTCCAGGAGCTTGCCTGCTCTAGGAGCTTGCCTGGTCCAGGAGCTGGCCTGGTCCAGGAGCGTGCCTGGTCCAGGAGTGTGCCTGGTCCAGGAGCTTGCCTTGCCTAGGAGCTTGCCTGGTCCAGGAGCTTGCCTTGTCCAGGAGCTTGCCTGGTCCAGGAGCATGCGTGGTCCAGGAGCGTGCGAGGTCCAGGAGCTTGCCTGGTCCAGGAGCTTGTCTGGTCCAGGAGCTTGCCTGGTCCAGGAGCTTGCCTGGTCAAGGATCTTGCCGGGTCCAAGAGTTTGCCTGGTCCAGGAGCTTGCCAGGTCCAGGAGCTTGCCTGGTCCAGGAGCGTGCCTGGTCCAGGAGCGTGCCTGGTCCAGGAGCTTGCTTGGTCAAGGAGCTTGCCTGGTCCAGGAGCTTGCCTGGTCCAGGAGCGTGCCTGGTCCAGGAGCTTGCCTGGTCCAGCAGCTTGCCTGGTCCAGGAGCTTGCCTGGTGAAGGAGCTTGCCTGGTCCAGGAGCTTGCCTGGTCCAGGAGTGTGCCTGGTCCAGGAGTGTGCCTGGTCCAGGAGCTTGCCTGGTCCAGGAGCTTGCCTGGTCCAGGAGCTTGCCTGGTCCAAGAGCTTGCCTGGTCCAAGAGCTTGCCTGGTCCAGGAGCTTGCCTGATCCAGGAGCTTGCCTGGTCCAGGAGCTTGCGTGGTCCAAGAGCTTGCCTGGTCCAGGACCTTGCCTGGTCCAAGAGCTTGCGTGGTCCAGGAGCTTGCCTGGTCCAAGAGCTTCCCTAGTCCAAGAGCTTGCCTGGTCCAGGAGCTTGCCTGGTCCAGGAGCTTGTCTGGTCCAGGAGCTTGCCTGGTCCAGGAGCGTGCCTGGTCCAGGAGCGTGCCTGGTCCAGGAGCTTGCCTGGTCCAGGAGCTTGCCTGGTCTAGGAGCTTGTCTGGTCAGGAGCATGCCTGGTCCAGGAGCTTGCCTGGTCCAGCAGCTTGCCTGGTCCAGGAGCTTGCCTGGTGAAGGAGCTTGCCTGGTCCAGGAGCTTGCCTCGTCCTGGAGCGTGCCTGGTCCAGGAGTGTGCCTGGTCCAGGAACTTGCCTGGTCCAGGAGCTTGCCTGGTCCAGGAGCTTGCCTGGTCCAAGAGCTTGCCTGGTCCAAGAGCTTGCCTGGTCCAGGAGCTTGCCTGGTCTAGGAGCTTGCCTGGTCCAGGAGCTTGCCTGGTCCAGGAGTTTGCCTGGTCCAGGAGCTTGCCTGGTCCAGGAGCTTGCTTGGTCCAGGAGCTTGCCTGTTTCAGGAGCGTGCCTGGTCCAGGAGCTTGCGAAGTCCAGGAGCTTGCTTAGTCCAGGAGCTTGCCTGGTCCAGGAGCTTGCCTGGTCCAAGAGCTTGCCTGGTCCAAGAGCTTGCCTGGTCCAGGAGCTTGCCTGGTCCAAGAGATTGCCTGGTCCAAGAGCTTGCCTGATCTAGGAGCTTGCCTGGTCCAGGAGCTTGCCTGGTCCAGGAGCTTGCCTGGTCCAGGAGTGTGCCTGGTCCAGGAGCTTGCTTGGTCCAGGAGCTTGCCTTGTCCAGGAGCTTGCTTGGTCCAGGAGCTTGCCTGATCCAAGAGCTTGCCTGGTCCAAGAGCTTGCCTTGTCCAGGAGCTTGCCTGGTCCAGGAGCTTGCCTGGTCCAGGAGCTTGCCTGGTCCAGGAGCTTGCCTAGTCCAGGACCTTGCCTGGTCCAAGAGCTTGCCTGGTCCATGAGCTTGCCTGGTCCAAGAGCTTCCCTGATCCAAGAGCTTGCCTGGTCCAGGAGTGTGCCTGGTCCAGGAGCTTGCCTGGTCCAGGAGCGTGCCCGGTCCAGGAGTGTGCCTGGTCCAGGAGCTTGCCTGGTCCAGGAGCTTGCCTGGTCCAGGAGCTTGCCTGGTCCAGGAGCATGCCTGGTCCAGGAGCTTGCCTGGTCCAGCAGCTTGCCTGGTCCAGGAGCTTGCCTGGTCCAGGAGCTTGCCTGGTCCAGGAGCTTGCCTGGTCCAGGAGCGTGCTTGGTCCAGGAGTGTGCCTGGTCCAGGAGCTTGCATGGTCCAGGAGCTTGCCTGGTTCAGGAGCTTGCCTGGCCCAAGAGCTTGCCTGGTCCAAGAGCTTGCTTGGTCCAAGAGCTTGCCTGGTCCAAGAGCTTGCCTGGTCCAAGAGCTTGCTTGGTCTAAGAGCTTGCCTGGTCCAAGAGCTTGCCTGGTCCAGGAGCTTGCCTGGTCCAGGAGTTTGCCTGGTCCAGGAGCTTGCCTGGTCCAGGAGCGTGCCTGGTCCAGGAGCGTGGCTGGTCCAGGAGCTTGCCTGGTCCAGGAGCTTGCCAGGTCCAGCAGCTTGCCTGGTCCAAGAGCATGCCTGGTCCAGGAGCTTGCCTGGTCCAGCAGCTTGCCTGGTCCAGGAGCTTGCCTGGTGAAGGAGCTTGCCTGGTCCAGGAGCTTGCCTGGTCCAGGAGCGTGCCTGGTCCAGGAGTGTGCCTGGTCCAGGAGCTTGCCTGGTCCAGGAGCTTGCCTGGTCCAAGAGCTTGCCTGGTCCAAGAGCTTGCCTGGTCCAAGAGCGTGTCTGGTCCAAGAGATTGCCTGGTCCAAGAGCTTGCCTGATCTAGGAGCTTGCCTGGTCCAGGAGCTTGCCAGGTCCAGGAGCTTGCCTGGTCCAGGAGCTTGCCTGGTCCAGGAGCTTGCCTGGTCCAGGAGCTTGCCTGTTTCAGGAGCGTGCCTAGTCGAGGAGCTTGCCAAGTCCAGGAGCTTGCTTGGTCCAGGAGCTTGCCTGGTCCAGGAGCTTGCCTGGTCCAAGAGCTTTCCTGGTCCAAGAGCTTGCCTGGTCCAGGAGCTTGCCTGGTCCAGGAGCTTGCATGTTCCAGGAGCTTGCCTGGTCTAGGAGCTTGCCTGGTCCAAGAGCTTGCCTGGTCCAGGAGCGTGCCTGCACCAAGAGCTTGCCTGGTCCAGAAGCTTGCCTGGTCCAGGAGCTTGCCTGGTCCAGGAGCTTGCCTGGTCCAGGAGCATGCCTGGACCAGGAGCTTGCCTGGTCCAGCAGCTTTGCCTGGTCCAGGAGCTTGCCTGGTGAAGGAGCTTGCCTGGTCTAGGAGCTTGCCTGGTCCAGGAGCTGGCCTGGTCCAAGAGCTTGCCTGGTCCAGGAGCTTGCCTGGTCCAAGAGCTTGCCTGGTCCAAGAGCTCGCCTGGTCCAGGAGCTTGCCTGGTCCAAGAGCTTGCCTGGTCCAGGAGCTGAGCTTGCCTGGTCCAGGAGCTTGCCTGGTCCAGGAGCTTGCCTGGTCCAGGAGCTTTCCTGGTCCAGGAGCATGCCTGGTCCAGCAGCTTGCCTG